CAAATGTTAGTGTGATGGCACAACTATTTGCCTTTTAAGCAGCAATGTCTTGTTTAAAGCCTTCAAGAGAACCAGACTTTGTTTATGAAGGTAATTAAATCAGGTTTTTTACTTCTTCCCAGATACCAGCTTCAGCATGCAAATGAAGATAAGCTTTGCAAATGACCCAAGGAATGTTAATATATCCTTGTTTCCAGTAAAACTGGTTCAGATTGTAAAAGAAAGCCTACATTCCCAGAGTTTGTTCTAGAATGGGCCGGGAAGGAAGGCAGGTTATGCTTTGTATATACAAACTTAACCAGAGAAATGGTTTATGTCCAAAGTTGAAGGGTAACCCTTTCTACCTGCTCATCATATAATGGATGGACAGAGCAATAAAGAGCAACAGAGCAATACAGCGAACAAAAATAATGCTGCAGCTGGATTAGTCCTGCAAAGGAAACCAGAAATATTGTAATTTCTTTCTTCTTTCTTTCTTTTTTATATTTGTAGCCCTTTTTTTCCTTTCAAGGAACTCAAAGCTTAGATAAATCTTCTCTTCCTCTCAATCTTATCATCATAGCAACCCTGCGAGGTAGGTTGGGTTGCAAGTCTGAGACTGGCCCAAAGTCACCCAGTGAGCTTCAGGGTTGAGTGGTGACTTAGAACCCAGATCTGAGTCCCAGTTTCACACTCTTTAGCACTACCCCACTTCTCCTAGAAGCCTATTGGGGAAGAAACCCATCAACAGCAATTGCTATTATACCAATGTCATCATCCTGAAAACAACATTCCAGCCACCTCTTGCTAAATCCATCATAGATCTCATCCTGGGATTTGTATATGAAAGGATTTGTAAGGGAACCAGTGTTATGCTCTGTAGGATCTACTTGGGATTTAAACAAAATGCAGGTAGAAACCACTCATTTGGTTCTGTGGTATCTACTCACTGAAAGAAATACAAGAGCCTTCCCCAGTCTGTGCTTCTCAAACTGCGGACTTGTTGGGAACCATTGTATATGCAGGATCAGCAGAGTTAAGCACTGAAGAGTGGATTTAATTAAGAGGCTGTTGCTTGCACCTGGCTCTATTAAACTCCTCACTTGGAGGCCTACAGCAAAGTTTTGAAAAGGTTTATTTACTCACAACCATCTGTACGTGGCCTGCATGAAGGAGAGATGTTGGCATGTGCATGCAGGATGTCCTGGTTGAGAAAGGAAGGTCCTTTGTTAGCTGGTTTGCTTAGAGGAGAAGGACTGTGCTTCTTCTGTCCATGCAGGAAAGAGAGGGGTGGTGGTGGTCAAAATGGTCACATGACCCCTTTGCCTTTTCAGGTGAGGGAGAAGAAGAAAAGGTGCTGGAAAAGACCCAGCTCTGGAAGAGAGGTCCTTCCAATTTTGTCTGTGACTTTAACTCTTTCCCTCCCAGTCTGGTTAATGGTCAGAACCATGCGATGTTAATGCAAGCAATGTTACATATACCTAGCAGGACTACAGGCCCCAAGTTTCCCAAAGGTTGGTAACATGCTGGGTGTCCACAAAAACTGCCCCAGGGAGGGTAAGTCTGGGCTGCACTTGTACCTGGCAGAGCCTGTTTCCTTCAGTGCTCTGAGAAAGGAAAGATCAATGCTTGATGCCAGACCCCATAAACTTGCACTTGCTGTGTCAGGGCTAACCAAGCCAAAGCGCCACACGATTGCAGAGGAAAGCCTGAAACTGACAAGATGGGCATCCTGGTCCAATCAGGAAATATTTCCAGGGCTCCTTCCTCATGTCCACCCAGCTTGCTTATGCTCTGTCTTCTCTGAATCCCCTTTCCCATCTGTTCTTTGTTTTAATCCATTCAAAAGGGTTTAGATTTATGTGACTCATACAACTGTCTATGTGGCTGAAACATTTATAAAAACATTCTCATCTTCTTTGATTCTTTGTAGTCCCTTGTGGGTTACCTACATACATAGATGTCCGAATACAGTGGTACCTCGGTTCATGAACGCCTCAGTTCACGACCACAGGAATTTCAGAAAAAAATTGCCTCAGGTCGCAAACTCCGCATCGGGTGGCAATCGCGATCGTGCCCGTCTTCCCTGCACTAGAACGACTGGAGGCAGAAAGGCATTCAGTAGGACTCAGCCTCAGAAAGAATTATAGAGGCAGAAAGTCGAGTTTCAGCAACCTTAAGGTGCAATCCTATGCCAAGTGGCTGGGGCGTGCTGAGAGTTATCAGTTTTTTCTGTCTCAATGGGCACAGGAATGCACTCTTAGTCAAAAAAGGGACAGACAATCATGCTGGCTTTGTTCCCTTCCCTCTCATTCCTACAGATAGTACCCCTGAGGAAATGGCAGGGCAAAAGAGGTCCGTGCCTTTGACACCTGTGCTCACAAATCAATTCTGGCTCACCACAGCTGTCAAAAAGTCTCCTTGGTGCAAACAGGACCCCTGCCCCGAAGCATGATGGGGAGGATGGAAGCAGAGGTGCCTCGCCTCCTTCATACTTGGCCCCTGGCTGGAAATAAACCTGTGCAGACAAGAGCTAGAAGCTGGCTTGGCAGGGATGCTTCAAGGACGGGGCATGGAACCCATCCAGCCCCTGCTTTGGAGCAAGGTGTTCAGGTGGAGGTGGCAATGGGCTGGCCTATGTGTTCTGTTGGACTGTGGTGGTCTCAAGGCAGCCCTGCGGAACACATTCCTCTTCCCAAACTCATTGCAGCTGCTTGAGCACCTTATTCCAAGGTAAGAGGGATGAGGTGGAAATGGGCACAGTGGGGAAGCTCTGAGAACCCGGCAGCCCGAGTATGGACTGAAGGTACATAAGGCATCCACCCAGCTGAAGCTTATCAGGTTTGGGACTGTCCTGAGCTTGGAAGGATGACCACCTGGGAACCACATGTTGCAGCCTTGAGTTCCACAATGGGAGACATGTGGAATATCAATATAATAAACAAAGAAACTAACTCTTCCAAGTAGATCTCCTCACTTCTTGCCGCTGCTTGGAAGAAAGCTGCTCTGTTGGGTGCCAGGATGGGCAGCAACTAGTTCTGTTGGTCATGGCTCCCCAACCTGGTCCCTGCTACAGAGTGGGAGTAGGAAGGGGGCAGCACTTTCTCCTTTCTTTCTGAGGCAGCGCCTCCCAGGTGGTTCTACTCCCTCCTCTCATGCCTGAGTAGGAGCCATCAGCTGGCAGGGCCCTGCCCAGCCAATCAGCCTGGTTCCTGCCCCAAAGGAGATCCCTAGGGCAGCAAGCAGGAACCGCTAGTACGCCTCTGGAGGGCTCCAAGCTGGGGCAACTGCCAGCTGTGCTTTTTGGCCAGTGGCTCTCATGTTCTGGAGTTTCTACCACAATGATTGTCTGAGTTCGGATGACACAACAAGAAATCATGGTAAAGAGAAACCTAGAACAGACCATTGCAACTTATCAAGGCTGCACTAAGGTCAGTTCTTAGATCTGGTCTTTCCTTTGTTCCCCAAATTAATTTCTTTCTACATTTCAGAAGAGATCGGGCTGTCCTTCAGTCTGAGTTGTTTCCACCAAAAGGAGAGGGAACACCACAGACTGGAAGTACGGAAAGCCCTTAATGGCTTGGGACCTGGTTATCTAAAGGAGCGCTTGTGTCCATATATGTCCTCCCGTCCCTTGAGATCGGCAGCAGAGGCTCTTCTCTAGGAACCCGCCGTGAAGGATATTAGGAGGGTGAGTACCCGGAGGAGGGCCTTCCCTGCGGTGGCGCCACACCTATGGAATGCGTTCCCCAGAGAGGTCCTCCTGGCGCCGCTGTCATTTGTTTTTCAGTGCCAGGCCAAGACCTTTTTATTTAAATATTTTAATTGTTAATTGTTTTATTTATTGGTTTTTATATCTGTGCCAAGCTGTCTCCGGGTTTTTAAGGTTAATTGTATGTTTGTTTATTTGCTTTGTAAGCCGCCCCGAGGCTTTTTGCGAATGGGGCGGCATAAAAATGTTCTAAATAAATAAATAAATAAATCATCCATATCCAGTCATCTTGCAGAGCTGAACTCTAAGGTCAGACAGTAAATTATTAGGTGCATTGCGATATATTGCTGTTTTATTGTCAAAGAAGTCATGAAAGGTTTGTTTGTCTTATAGGACAATCAAGGAAACAAATGAACAGAATGTACTGCATGTAAAACTGAAAGAGGAAAAAGTATCTCTGGCTTTGTTAGCTGGAGATGTAGGTATGGCTCAGTTCCATGAGGCTGCAAAGGAAAGCACAAGATGTGAGACTGACGCAGAATTCAGCTTCCTATGGTTCTTAGCTTTCTCCTTTAGAAAGAAAATAATGCTTTTCTTTATTTTACTATCCCACTTTTCTCCAGCAAGGACTTGACATGGTTTACACAGATCACGTCAGTTAAAAACATCTTGAAAATCTCAGTTCTCAGACAGCTGATCCTCATGGAGCCAAAATGGCACCACCCGCAATAAAATGGGGTTATTTGCCAGCTTTGGGAAACCTTTGTTTAGCTGGAATGGATTGATTCAGCGGAGCAAACAGAGCTCTAAAACGTGTATTACAAAGTACAATTGATAAGCAAGCCAGCCAGCCAGCCAGCAGCCAGCCATTTATGTCTCATGATTTATAGCCATGTAATATTATCCCCAAGGTCAGGAGAACAAAAGCTCACAGCTGAAGCACTAGATCCAGATACAAATCTGCACCAAAGCTGCAATCCTGTGCATGTTCATACCCCTATGTGTGAAGACCATTTAACACATTGGGTCTTGCATTGGAGTCAGAAGGAGGCTGCACACGTATTTACTAGTTAAAACTTTGATCGGAAATATGCATGTTACCATGACCTTGACACATAACCGAGTAAGCAGAGCAGATACAGAATTAATACTTTGCAGGAGAAATTGACCTTCCCCTTTCTAAAACCTAGGTGTAGTCAGGATGGGGGAGTAATCAACCTAGTTTTGAAGGCCAGAAGCTAGGTCTTTGGGGAAAAAAGGAACAAACAAGAATGATGCAAGGGAAAAACTGGATCAATTCCTCTAGTATATTTTCACTGTATCTACTGCAAATCCCACCAGTCTGTAAGTCAGAAACGGGCAACTTGTGGCCCTCCACATTCTTGGCCTATGAATTCTATCCATCCTTGTTGTAGACTGTGTTGGCTAGGATGGACAGGAGCGGAGATCGAAGCAAGCGGTCAGCCTTGCTCAAGCAGTATCTGGTGGAAGGAAAAACCTGACTTTGTGTGTGCATGCACACTCAATAATTGGTGTTCTTGAGTCAGTCTTAAATAAAAGCAAATGAAAGTGTTGTGTCAAGGAAGGTCATTGTAGAGCTAAGGAACCTGATTGCATTTGTGGTTCTGGCCACTGCACTAGCATAAACCAAAACTGGCCCGACATAAACCATCAGAGTGAGAAAAGTGGTAATTTGCTGCCCAAATTTAATAGTGTGGCAAAACCAGGTTGTTTTTTCTTTCAAACAAGATGTACTCCTTTTTCCTCTGCACTGCCAAATTTTAGCAGCAAATCATACTTTTTCTCATGTTGGGAATGACATTCTTCAGGTATCGGTTTGCTGTACCTTATTCTAGTACTGCTTTGGTGCAGGATGTACAAATGACGCACAATGTGAAAAATCCACCCATTAATAGTCTGCCTTAGTGCCGTGTCATTCACAATAGCACTGGAACAGCACTGAATGCTGCACGAGGACTCCAACCCAGTGCAAGCTACTTCAAAATAACTGGGGACTGCGGGAAGGGAGGGTTACCAAGCGCCCTTCAACTGCATGGTGCAGTATTTCAGAATCAGGAGTGTGAGGCAGGGCAGTTGAAAGAAATACACTAGTTTGCTAATCTTGCATTCTCTGAGTGTGTTGTGCAATGTCATGAGATATTTGTCCTTAATAGTCACATGAACCATGTTCCAAGTTAAGCTCATAACTGCATTCTTTTCATTGTATGATTACATGCCTTTTGGCGACAGCTTGAGCCTGATCAGGAGGTGAGTTTGCTATACTAGAAACACATTTGCCTCTGCTGTTCAGAAATAAAATCCTAACCACTACAAATGTTCCGGGCAGCAACAATTAACCATGCATGCATGCACATACAGAGGAATGCAACAGAAGATGGGCTAAGCACTATAAAATGCCTTCTATATTGAGTGATTTACCAAGCAAGATGAATTTTTTCACCAACCATAGGAAGCCTTTCTTAATAAGTTTTTGCACAAATAGCAGGACATGCTATTTGGTCAGTGCTATAGAGATCCTTACTGTAATTACTAAAGCTTGGCAACTGTTCCTCTGTGCCAGAGGTGCCAAGCTTGGACCTTGTGGGTTGGTGGGAACCAGTGGAACACAGTTGTTCTGTGTTGTCTTATTTGGCTCGAAATGCAATGTTTTAAAAGGTTGTGGTAGATTTTTGCCAGGGCATGTTGCTCCTGTGCCACAAAGCATTCCCTTCTCCATCCCATACTGGACCAGCTTCAGTGCAGAATGCAGAGCTGGCTCATTGTGTGGGAACAAAGGCAAGGGTGGACCTCAGATCTATCTGTTAATTAGTTCACGGCCGAGTACTCGATACCAATTCTTAAAGGGAAAATAAAGATATGTTTCCAGCCATCTTGTTTCTAATTTAATCTTCTATTTCAACCTGCAGGAGGGGACCTTGTAATGTAATGAGCAGTACATATTAGGCATGCATTGAAATTATCCTATAGCATTTGACAATGAAATACTTTTTCACCAAATCAAGGACCGTAACATTTATTTTTTCCCAGTTACCTTTATTAATTATTATTATTAATTTCATTCCTATACTGTCCCACAGCCAAAGATCTCTGGGCGGTTTACAACCCTCAGTAAAAACAGACAATAGCAAAAATTACTTTGCAAAACCCCTGGAATGCATAATCCCCTCCAAACCCTTGGCCTCAGAAAAGAGGGCCAGCTTAACCTGGTGCTGAAAAGTGACAAATTCAGCACCAGCCAAGCCACAGTAGGGAGGCTGTTTCACAGATTGTGGGGGGGGGGGGGGGGAGGCAACACAAAGAAAGCCCTCCCCTTTGTTGCAACCCTCACAGTCAGCGCATAGAGGAAAACCCTGGAAGTTAAACGTAGTGTATTTATGTAAATATTAAATAATTTACTACAACATATACAAATATAAACATCCATTCATAAAAATCATAAATATATAAAAATTGATTGCAGTAGCATTATAAAACTCAAAATCACACCACCTATGTTAACAGATGTATGCCATTTGAAGAAACTAGGTTTGTCTCTTTCCAGGAGTTCATAATCAGTTTACATTTAAAGTGCTAAATCCTGACACATAAATTAATATGTAAAGAACATTGTACCATTAAAGGTGGCTGCCAATATTGCAAATGTTCAATTTCGTAAACGTTTCCAAAAGTCTGTTTCAAAACAGAGAAAATCTCCTGTCTAAACGCTGATAGCAAGTACCTGCCTCTGGCATAGTCTAGCGTTTAATTCTGATTTGCACGATACACTTCAAATGAATCCTATTTGTGTGCAATCCTATGCGTGTTTAGACAGAACAAAGGTCTGTAACTCTGGTTACAGCTAGCTGGGACATACTGTGATTGTAGGCCCTTTTTTCTGTCTAAACAGTTTAGGCTGTTAAAAGTTTTTATTTTATGTATCTGTTTTTTATTCTAGAACCCGTACCAACTGATGTTTCCAGAACATCTTTATCCAAAAGGATTCAGAGAAAACAGTTTCCTCCTGTCAGTTAATGTATTTAAAACAGTTTTCGTTACTGTTACTGGCTGACTAAAAGCAGACATTTTAAGTAGTGTTTTAAGTCCAAGTGTTTCACAGAAACAGTAAGTCCCTTGATTTAAAGATCAATGATTATTGCTTCCATAGGTAAGCCAAGGGTTCCACAGGTAGGAGTTATGAGCAGCAGTTTGTAGTGATAATGCAGATGTGAGCTTTCCTGCCCCCTATAAATTTGGGGGGATGTTCTCTTTCATTGTGGCTGCAGATTTTGATCTCCTGCATCTGTACACAATCACAGGCAAAGCGATAATTAGCATGAGGACTGCAATTGCACCAAACGCTATTATAAGAATTGACTCTAATGGAAGACCTGGAAAAGAAAGAAAATGCAAAGTTGGAGAACATGTAACTTCCATACAACAGACCAGTACTGTGTTTCTAGAATAAAACTAAAGTGGGTTCTATTATGTTGAGCCATTTACCTTGAAATCTACTAGCCTAGCATTACTCCGTAACTGGAAAGCACTTGATGATTATCAATAAAAAATTACATTTATATCCCACCTTTCTTTCTCTTGCAAGGAACCCAACGCTCTTCTTTTTCTATCTGCACAACAACCCCAGATTAAGGTAGGTTAAGCTGAGTTACAGTAACTTGGCCAACTTCATCCACAGGATTCATGACTGAGTGGAGACTCAGGATCTCCTGATTCCCAGTTCAACACTCTTTAACTCATTGCACCTCAAAATGGTGTAATTATGTCTCCAACACTCATAAAACAGGATCCTTTTCTAATCAGAAAAGAGGCATGTGGTTAAGGGGAATGCCAGCCTGTGGAAAGGCCTTCCCCATCACAGTTTCTTATGCTTTATTGCTTCTGATACTTTTTTTACTTCATCCAACTCACTTCCAGTGTTGGAAAAAGGATTGAAGACCAAGTCTTAAAGTGGTGGAGCATAGATGGTTAAGAGGAGGGAAAAATTTAAGCTCTTTTCATCCACAGAATGTGTGGACTTCTCTGTCTCACATTCAGGGAATAAATAAATGGGTGCATAACCTTCTAGGATTCTGCCATTTCAGGTGAGATCACATGACTGAATTGACCTCTGCATGTAAGACTTCAACATGCACTCTTACACAGGACTATGTATATTCTGTTGAACTTGGTGGGATTTACTTCTGAGTGAGCTTGTGTTGTGGTAAACACTTAGTGTACTGGGGAGACTGCCTCTTCCTTAGCCTTTTGACAATTTGGTTGTCTTGTGCAAAGAAGACAATGTTACATCATGGAATAGTTAGCCCCAAATTCTGTCCTAAGTGGCACAGACTCCAGTGGTTCTGAATGTGCAGTTCAGCACTTAGAAAAAAATGCATCGTCTGACTCTGGGGAAAGGGTGAAAACAGCCATGCAGAAACAATATCGTTTTGGAAAAGGAAGTTATGTGTGACAGATTGCAGTGCAAACTTCACAGCAAATAGTAGAGTGGGGAACGCATTCAGGGCTCACTTTATATGGCTGCATATTACTACTTAGAAAAATTTCTAAAAAGAAATGTCAGTAAGGTGTTAAATTGATTTTGATAGGAATAGCTCATGCATGAAAGGCAATGTTTATAGAAATGGATTATACACTAATGCCAAAGTACATACCATCCAAGTCGTTTCTGTTAACACCAGTACAAACTTGATCACTTTTCTGGCCATCACGGTTATTTATGCGTGACATGATAGTTGCTTGGACAAAGAAGCAGTAACTCTTCCCTGCATCAATCTGAATGTCAAACTTGTTGCTTTTTGCTGCTACCCATTTCTGCAAGGAGAATAAGATGTTTGAAGACACATTTACATGCATTCCAGGTCTTCAGAGAGAACAGATAGGACAAATCCAAAACATATAAAGAGAAACGGGACTTCTAATGTAATATTCTGAACACAGCATGTCGGTTGGTTTGTTCCAAAATTGTAGGTGAAGGAGCAGGATGAATTTTGAAGTAAATATACATGGCTAAGAAAAAGCCATTATAAAAGATCTGTCTGTAAGGCGTGAAACTTGTTTAAGGAAGAACATTAGCACATTTAAAACAAAAATAAAGAAGAAAAATACATATTCAGCCCAGTTTCACTTTTTATTCAAATATGTTTCTTGTATGTTGTGTTTGTTTCATATTCAGATTCATTTGTCTTTCTAATACATTTCAGAAGTTTAAAAAAAACCCCAGAAAGCCCATGCTTGTTAAAAAGGTCTTCACCTGGCACTGGAAAGGCATTGGGTCTGTAAGAGACTCTGAGCAATGCCTTCTAAAGTCAGAGCACCAAGACCAAAAAGTCACTGGCCACGCCCCAGATGGAGGAGGTCTCCTGGTAAATATTTGATGTCCTGAACTTTTTTCTTTCAATCCTTTTTCTTATGCTGCATGCAATTTATTTTACATAGCCATTTTTATATATTGCCAACTTGCAATATATATTTTATTTATTATACAATATTTATAAATTATAAAAAGACTCAGGACACTGAAAATAAACACTCACCTTTCCTGTACTTTGGTCTTTCCAATAGGTCAGTGTATATTCTAGGTCATCTTTGAATATATCCCTGATATTTTGAAAGCTTCCATTGGCAAATCGTATAGGTGTTAAGGGATCTTCAATCTCCACTCTCAAAATTTTACCTTCTTGTGTAAAATTCTTGATTCTGGGCTTTCCAATTTCAGCTAGAAGAGAAATGTTTTTAGATTATTACCAGAGGAAAATTAAAAACTTATTCCTTGTGATTTTTATTACCAACAGAAGAGTTAACCTTTCAGTACACTAATAGTATAGTATAAAATGAAGAATTATGCATCACATAGACCCTTGTCCTAAGACACACAGTGGCCCAATTCACATATGAAAAACTTCCCATGGATTATTTAATGCATTTGTGGTTAAAGTCATGAAGAAGTGAAAGAGTGTGCTGCTTCCGGTCATCTTGCAGCCTTGCATGCACTTTCGGCGATGATCTAGAGAACTCTGTTTGAGGGCTGTTACTAATGACATCTGAAAAAAGAAACAACCTAGCATTTGAACCCATGGCTTGTTGACAGGTTAAAACTCTGAAATGTCTGTGTCTCAGCTACCCAGAGTTCTGGCTTCAGAACTGAATCAAATAAACCATGGTTTGTAGCTGAAAACAGATACAGAAAACAGCATGTTTGCTTGCTCCAGTGCAGCCACACAAATTCATGAGCTAACCTGTATTGGAATTACACGAGAATTAGGATAGTGTCATAAACCATTGTGTTCCTGGCAAATGAAGGCCATTAAAAACCCTTTGAAAACACTGTCCTGCTTATTTTTGTGTGCACTTTCTCATCTCCTGGGCCATGCAGTCCCTCAAAATGCTCACCTGTCATTTGTTGGTTCAAACATGTAGGAACTGACATGCAAAATTTAATTTATGTATAGTCACATAGATGGGGATTCTAGGTCACATTTGCCAAGAAAATGCAGAACTAAAAGTTATCCCAGATACAAACTGGATCTCTCAATGTTTTTGCAACTAAATTCAACCTGGGGTGGGGGGGGGGTTGCCAATGTAACTGAAATGGAGGAGCAAATTTAAATCTCTCCCCGTGCCATTTTCCTGTTCAAAATTATTGTTCTGAACACATGTGGGTAGCCTCAGTTGTATTTTCTACACCTCATGGAGAAAACAAATAAAAGAAAGGCAGTATTGACTTTGAAAATGGTACAGAATATAAGAGTTAAAGATTCCCCTTCTCACTATCAAATCAGCACCCACCCCCAGCTACATTTCATTAAATGCTAGATGTTGTGCTTAACGTGTGCTTTGGACCTTAACAACAAATTTCAAAACTTCAAAGCAATCAGGCTACTTGCTTTCATGTGGATCTGGTGCACAGTGAAATATGTCACAAAGCCACTCTGGAATTCTTGGGATCCTGTGCACAATGAGGAGGAAGGAATGGGAAGAGACGGACACAAGATTACTTACTTTGAGTGTAAGGAGTGAACGGTGGAGAAATTTCATAAGGAGGGGTATCAATATTTTCTTCTGAATAAGGCCCTTCAGAGTATATGCGAGCAACATACATCTCTCTTAAATTCTTCATCCAGTTTGTAAGATCACATTCTGTTTGGCTAATACGATTGCATACTTTCTTCCGCTCAGATAGATCTCTGTAAAGACCACAAGAGTAAAGCAGATACTTATTCACAAATGTATGTGTAAGAAAAGAATGTGCTTCAATGAACTGGTGGGGGGGGTCAGAAGGAAATAGCTCTCTTGCACAGCAGCCAAGCACATCATTTCCCTTTTGATCTGAATAATCATGAAGAATGCTTTTCTGCACTTTGAAAGGATGGCTAAATCTACTTAACAAACCAGCAGTGGTCCTGCCAATCTATGCAACATGCAATAAATTCAGAAAAAGACCAGCCCAGAATACATTATCATGCGTATCAATCCATAATTGGGCACTTTCAAGAAATGTATGGGCTTAGAAGCACTTTCAGATACAGTAGCAATACAACTCACTTGATTTTGTATACCATCATGATTTTTTTTTGAAAATAATAAGATGGTATAGATTTTTGAAGTAAATAAATACAAATTAAAGGACCTGTATCAAGCTGGAACAGGCACACAATTGATCCTTTGCTGATATTCTGCATTATTAATACTTAACAATTAACTAGAGTATGGTGATTCTTGGCTATTTCACACAGAAAGCTTGAAATTTCATATTAGCGACATTGCTGGTTTGGCAAAGGGCTTTTAACACAGATATCATAAGCAGTCTGTCTCCTGAAAGGGCAGACAGACTATCCACCACAAGATCTGAAATATAGTGATACCTTTATCAGAACTGTTATGCCATTTCTCTCCAAGAGTAGCAAATAGTGATACTGAAGCTCTGTCAACAGTTAAGGGTGCAGTCCTGTTGTCCTTGCGGCAGATGCCCATAAGCCTCTGAACTTGGAAGCTTAAGGCATGGAACGCACAACACACTGTAATGCATACAATGCTACAAAGCTGCTATCATTCTCAAATTATGGATTTTCACCCACTTGCAAGCATTCTTCTTAGAACCTACTGTATGCAACCTGCTACGCTGCCTTGGAAATATCGGTGTGTTAAAAGAGCGTCCATCCTTTTAAGGTTAAATCCTACTTGAACTGCATGTTGGAAAGAGACTTACCTAGAGTCTTATGGAAATCAGAAGGACCTTTTACAAAGCAAAATGGCAACTCTAGGCAGACTTTTTGTGATCTGGGGTCAGGCAATATAAGATCTTAAGCTCTCTTCCCAAAATTTGCATTTGAGTTTAAGTATGAATCAAAATACAGACTTTTGAGAAGCCACTTAAACCATCTGAGTCTATTTCCTGGTAAATTTGGCTAAAGTCAGTCCATGTCTGTCATGTTATTCATCTTTATATTCTTGCTGTTTTTCATCTCTGCACCCCACCCCCTATAAAAAAAAATCTGAAATCAGCAAAGAAATGGACACGTTCCCTAATGCAACTTACCCATCTATTTCAACTGTATATGAATAATTTTTTGGCTCAGGCTTCCAAAGCAGCAGTGTCTTAAAATTAAGGGATGACCAAGTAATGTTAACAGCTGTCAATACTTTATTTTCACCTGAAAACAAATTGAGAGAGAGAGAGAGGACCATTATTAATTATGTAGCATTTGACTGGCACCTTGTACTGGAGTAGTTTGCGTGAGCCATAAATAACTACAGGTGTAACTACACCACAAACATCAACTGTACACCAGCTTAATCCATGGTTACTCCAAAAGATTACAGATGATGCTGGAATTCCTAATCCATCTCACAGAGCTACAGTTTCCTGGAGAAAGGGAATAACTGTTCTCAGTCCAAGTGTGTAGATCAGGTAAGTTCAAAGTCGTCAAGAGATTCAGTCTAACTGTGTTCATTCTGGAAGGCAAGTCTGTCAATGACAACTCTGCACAACAGGTATGCAGAACATTCAGCTGCTGCAGAGAAAAACAGGTGATGGCTACTCCCTCTGTGATCAGCTTTTCGGTTCTGAGGCTGGCTAGCGTGGGAAATGGGACACTGCACCCCATGAACCACTGAGTCTTCGTTGTGCCATGGGAAATCCTTTTTCAGCGCTATGTATCCACACAAAGCTCCCTTAATTGTGCTCCACTTCCAGTCCAAATTCTTTTCTATTCACTGCATTTGTATGCACATCACAACCACAACTACACAACATTGCTGTATTATTCCGGGAATGGTTTTTAATTCGCCTAAGAGTGCTTGTAAGCCCATTCTAAAACTTAGCAAGGATGTTTTAGAACATGCTCTCCAAATTGAAGAAGTAACACCTGATTTTGCTCACTTTTAGTATTAGCAGATTAAATTGCTAATTTCAGCCACCAAGATTTCAAAATGTTTTTACAAGCTTCTCTCTTTATTCTGTTAGTACGAGCTCACCATTGGCATGACTGGTACAAGAATTCCTTGCATTGGGTCTATTTGCAAAGAGAATGTCTGTTGTTATGTGCCCTTGAGTCTTCTCTGATTTATAGTGACCCTATGGATGAACACCCTCCAATATGTCTTGATTTTGACAGCCTTGCTCAAATCTTGTAAAGAGTGTTTTTTCCTTTAAGGAAAAGCGAATGTATTGCTGAATAAATGAGCTTAACAATTATTATTTCTAGAATAGTTCTGTCAAGGTCCTGAAATTAAACTCAAATAACTAATAATAATAATAATAATAATAATAATAATAATAGGGTGAATGTGAAACTTCGAAATTTGAAGTGTTCTGGAAGTCAGTCTTAGAAAACTGTAAGTGTAAGAATGACATTCTAATATCTTGAATACACCAAAGTAGAAGCCACAAATTAGCTAGATTTAGATGCAAGGTCATTGAACTGGATATCTATTGTCAATTGACAATAAACTACAAACTATAAACAAACAATAACATTATTTGCAACAAAAAGTGCAAAGTTCTAAGCATAAATATTCAAGAATATTTTGGAAGATGTGGCAATATTAAGATTAACCACTCTCAGGGAAAAGCTATTTCAAAAGGCAAAAGCAACTCAGCAAGTCTGCTTCACAGATGTTGGCCCATCAAATGCGCTTTGACCCTTTCAAACTAACAATCTGGTGTAATCCAAAACTGAAGCTTGCAGAGCACCCATTCCTCTGGAGGCAGCAGGCTGAGAGAGGGATCCTCCCTTTAGGTCAAAGCCAGTGTATTCCTCTCCTCTGTGGATTTAGAGGATAAATCAACTGCCCCAAAACTCACACTGTTAACACCTTCAAATAAAACCTAGGTCCGTTCCCTACACAATCCAACAGTATTCACTGCTTCAGAATCCCCAACGTTATTGAAGGGCTTGGTTAGCTCTGCAAAGACAACCAATATTTACAGAAAAAATTAACATAATCAGTCTGACATCCAGCCACGCAGAGGAGAGTGGAGTGAGGAATGCCACATCCAACCCTACTAGTGAGCAGCCAATTGCTACACCTTCGATCCAATCCATATCCCCTGATCTGAAACCGCCGAACAGCAAAAGCTGTTCCTTTAGGCATAAGGGATTCCACAATGCCTTTTTAAGGGGAAAAACTAACCCCCCTCTAATACATGCTGGTTATGTGGAGCAACAGAAATATCATTAATGTGCATGATGTGGAAATGTTAGCTAGTGTTAGCCTTATGCTGGCCAGAATACATCCACTTTGTCCTAAATGCATCATTGTGTTCAGCATGTCGATATATTGCTTAATTGCATTCCCAACATGCTGGAAACACTCCTCTGGCCACTGACTATACATGCCCTGCTGATGCTTAACAGTCATACTTCACGGATGGAAAGACAAATCAAGCACACAATGGACTGAAGATATCACAACACTGACATTCAATGGAGAATATATGACCAATGACAACTTCATCTCAACAGTCGTTCCAACATTTGGTCAACCTACCTAAACATATTTATTTATTTATTCGATTTATATCCTGCCTTTTTCCTGCAAAGGGCTCAAGGCAGCTTACATTATCTCTCCTCCTCCATCTTATCCCCACAACAACAACCCTGTGAGGTAGGTTGGGCTGAGAGACTGGGACTGGCCCAAAGTCACCCAGTTGGCTCCATGGCCGAGCGGGGACTCGAACCCAGATCCTCTGAGTCCCAGTCCCAGGCTCTTAACCACTACGCCACACTGGCTCTCATATATTTATTTATTTATTTATTAAAACATTTTTATGCCGCCCCATTCGCCGAAGCCTCGGGGCGGCTTACAAACAAACATATTAGAGATATGGAACAGGAACTTTGAATATATGTGCATGTATATGCATATATACATATTATTAGTAATGCACTCAAGATCAGTTGAACACATCTCTGCTTGTTGCTTTGTAACAGTCTATTTTTGTTTTCTTTTTTGCATATCAAATACAAATGATAATAATAAAATCAAATAAAAATATATTTTAAAAATCACACACTGCATAGAAACAGGTCAGAAATCGTAAACCACGATTATTTCCCAAGACTCCATATCCTCCCATCTGTTCTGGGCAAGGCATTATTTTATGGAAAAGCAACCCAAAATACCCACATCCATATCAACACCAATGAAATTCACACATCTTGTAAAACTGCATGTGTAGGAAGCTGCTACACCACAGAACTTCCAAAGGACATACATTCTAATATCTGTCCCTGGAAGAAATTACTGCGTGGAAAGCAGCACAAAGGAAATTGTTGCAATACCTGGATCGCAATACCTGGATGCCAGGCAAGCAAACACAAAGTTTGCATCCTAAATAGGCCAAGGGCCAAATCCTATTCAACACTATCGCTAAATTGTGTAAATTAGCATTTATTTGCATGAAGGTTTCCCTGGAAAATGAACTGCTCCTACTTGTTATGAATAATGCAGCACAATTAAAAAACAGCCAAAATGCACATAATCCAGTTTAACTTCAGGAGTCGAAAGGAGTTCACGAAAAAGAAATGAGGTACATCTCTTACTCCTGAGGCAGGCCAAACTGCAAAATCCACATCAAGCCGCACAGGGCAAATTGGGAATAACCCAAGAACCCACGGAGCCTTCGGAGAAATCATATTTTGCTCTCCCTTCTAATCGATAAACGATTTCCTGCAAAAACTAGCCCGGAACGCCCCCTTCCAAGGCAAGGCAGAAAAGCCATGCAGAGCAAAGGCGAACGATGCAGAACAGCAGCGGTCTCCTCGGATGTTCAGTTCTGCGGGACTTGCTCCCTCTAGAAAGTGCGCTTCGCAGGGCCGCCGCGCTCTGTTCCGGCAAAAGTAGAGAACTCGGTGCGCCTCAATAACTAACGTGTTTCTCGCGGCGCGCAATGGGAAGGGCGAAAGATCGCGGTGCAAAAGTCCTGCGCGCGCGCACGAGTTTGGGGAAGGGGGCGGAGTGCGCGCGCGGGATTCGCCCGAGGAGAAGCGCGGGGCAGCGCGGCGCGCGGCTCGCACTCTTGCACTCACCCAGGCTGAACTGCACCACGCTCAGCAGCGCGCACAGTAGTCCCACTCGGCCGTGCAGCGCGGGTGCCGCCATCCCGTCGAATTTGCAAGGAGGATGCGACCGACCGAAAGGAGACGCGCAGGTAGCGCCCGGTGGATGGGGAGCACAGGCAGAGAGCGTTTCCTGGCGTGCGCCCGGGCGCAAGATCGTGTGTGTATGAAACAGGAAATCTAGCCCAGAAGGGATCTGCGCCTCCTTTATATCACCGCCAACCACCCCCGGAAAGTCCGCGGCAGACGAGAGGATGGCGAGCGGGTGAATCACCCTGTCGCTGGCCGTGATTCAGCTCCCCCGCCCCGCTCAGGCTGAGAGCCGCTCCTCCGGCGCGGGACGCGGGGCCAGGTGAGCGGCGCCGTGGCTCCATCTTCTGCCCAGGTGCCCGCGACGGGAGGAGGCCCGCGGGGAAGCCGCGGCGGGCGCGCGCGCGGAGCGGCTCGCGACGACCCTCGCCCGGGAGGTGGCGAAAAGGAGGTGGCGCCCCCGCACACGGCTGGGTGGCTTCCCTGCACACCCCGCCCCCTGGCCGTTTCCATGACCGGCTGCAGAGGACAGGACCCCGGTCTTGCGGAAGGCGCCACGCTCCGCTTCCATGCCCTGCGGTCGAGGAAAAGGGGAAGAGACGCGCGCGATCTGCCTGCCCGGTCTGCTATCACGGGGCTGGATTCAGACTTAGCCGTGGCTTCGAGCAGACGCCCTGAAATCAGCGGAACCTTTGCTTAACGCTGCTTATTTTGCTGGAACCTCAGATTTAGCCCTTAGATTTGGCTTAGTCTTGTTGATGTATTCTAAGTATTCTAAGTATGATATCCTAAGTATGATAAAGCTAACGTAAGTCCCACTGATTTCAAAGGGGCTATGCAAAATATATCCAGTCTGAAGTCTGGATGCAAGGTATACAGCTGGAGGGTCTCTCAGAGATCAACTAGGCCAACCCCCTGACATGTAGGGGATTCTCTAACTCCATCTCATTGAATTATGTGCATGCAGCAAAGCTCATGCAGTCTGTCACATGAAAACCGGGAAGTGCATGACGTGTTCCACTTTCTTAGGACTTACATGAATAATATTTAAAGCCCTCAATGGCTTGGATCCTGGATACCTGAAGGAGCGCCTTCTTGCCCATGTGCCTGGCCGCCCCTTGAGATCTGAGGCAGAGGTCCTTCTCTGGGAGCCCTCTTGGAAGGGAATTAGGACAATAGCTACCCGGAGAAGGGCCTTTCCAGCAGTGGCACCCCTCCTTTGGAACATGCTCCTCAGGGAGGTTCGCCTGATGCTGTCACTTTATTCTTTCTGGCATCAGGCGAAAACCTTTTTATTTTCCCAACATTTCAACATTTAATTGGTTTCATCTTTGATTTTATCATTAATGGTGGGATGCAGTGTGTTGTTTGTTGGTATGTTGTTTTGTTTTTTGCAAGCCGTCCAGAGACTCTAGTATTGGACATATAAAAGCTTTAAATGAAATAAAAATAAATAATATTTTTGATAATGTACTCGGGGACTTAACCTTGCAGTATCATGCTGTATCTCCACCATGGGAAAATCGCATTTGTTGAATGCCTCCTTGTCACAGAGCTGTTATTTATTTATTTAAAACATTTCTATGTCGCCCCCATCGCAACAAAGCCTCGGGGCAGCGCTCTCGCGCTCTCTCTCTCTCTCTCTACACACACACACACACACACACACACACACACACACACACACACACACATTTAAAACCCCCTGGTGCATGTTAAAGGAACAGGGAGATTGTCTGGGGGAAAGGGACACACAGATCTTTCCTAAAGTACTGTTCTTCTGTTCCTTCTGCCTAAAGAGCATATGAGAAATGCAGGAGGGACATTCTCAGACTTTTCTGAATGGGCTAATTACAATGAGCATTGTATTTATGTTATATATCCGTTTCATACTTCAGTGGAGGTCCTTTCTTCTAACTGTAGACATGTAGAGGAACTTAGAAATGCCTAGATTTCTCAAGCCTTTCCTGGACTGCATCTTCATTTTGCATGTTACAACATTTCTGGCAGTTCATTCATACATCCGTTTTTGTGGGGTGCTTCCAGAAAAGACAGCTCCCAGTCCGAGGGTATTGTGCAATTGTTCTGGCTTTATGTATATTTGGGGGAGGGGCAGATGGAAGCAGAAGTGGGAAAACAGGATTGTTGCAAGGGGAGGACAATTTTGTCTGGAAACTCACTTGTCCGTTTAAATCTCATGGTGGCAGGACCATTGCATGATAAAAGTCTCATATGGAAGCATTATTTCCAGTTCCTTATCCAACACAGCGTAGCATAAGAGAGGTAATAGTCTCTTTGCATTCATACGACTTAATTCAGTCCTGGGTTTAGTACGGAGCTGGGAACTATTATTATTATTATTATTATTATTATTATTATTATTATTATTATTATTATAACATTTCTGTGCCACCCCTTGCCGAAGCCTCGGGGCGGCTTACAACACACTAGCAACCATCTTCAATTTGAAACTGAAATCAGTGGGAGCCAGCCTGTGGTGTAGCTGGTCATATTTGGGCACAGGAATTGTGGATCCAAATCCCTGTTGAGCTGCACTCTCCCATTTCTTGGCCCGAAAGTTATTTCAGGGCTTTGGAAGGATAGCTTCTATTTCTTGGGTGTGGTGAGAAGAAATCTGGTATACAGTGGTGCCTTGTACTTTGAATGACTCTAACTTCAAATGATCCAGAGTTCAGACGTTAAAGTCAAGATAAAATTGCTCCAAAGTTCAAACGATGCTCCATTCGAACGGCACACAATGTGAAAAAATGCCGTCACAGCGTAAATGTCATCTGTTGTGCACCCAAGTTGTCTCTTGCTGTGAAACAACTCTTGAGTGTTGCGCATGAGTTTTCAATGTATGCATTTTTATGCTTTTTCAGTGCTTTTATTTGCTTTATTTTTTGGTTTTATATATATAGTCACTCCTCACTAAGTTATAGTAAATGCACATAACATTACTAACATAAATTCTAATAGAGTGGTGCCTCATACTTCAAACTTAATTCATTTCAGGAGGCTTTATTTGCTGGGTTTTTTAAAAATCAAAATGGGTATTGTTTAGGTTCTGCAAACAGATTAATTCACTTTCCATTACAATGTTACCTCAGTTCACGAACGCCTCAGTTGACGATCAGATCGGGTTGCAAACAGAAATTTCAGAAAAAAATTTCCTCAGGTCAAGAACTCCGCATCAGGTGACAATTGTAATCACACCAGCCTTCCCTGCATGGGTGTGATTGCAGGGAAGGGGGGGGATGGCCGTGAGCGTGCCCGTGATCGTGCCCTCTCCTCCCTGTGATTAAAAAAAAAAAATTACAGAATGGATTAACCTTATTTACATTGAAGCTTACAGGGAAATTTGACTTGGCTCATGACCAATTTGGGTCATGACCAGAGTCCTGGAACAGATTTTCATAAGCCAAGGCACCACTGTATTTCTAGTGGGGAAAACTGATTCAGACTTCAAACGATTCAGAGTTCCAATGGCCAAATGAAATGAATTAAGTTCGAAATACGAGGCACCACTGTACTTGGGCAGAGACAAACATCTCTTTTGTGTGAGTGGTGGTGGTAGAGAATGTGGCCAGAAATAAATAAGAAATGCACAGAAGGCAAGTGATACCTTTTTAATATTGTGTTTGCAACAACAGGAACATTTAATCTTCTTTTTAGTTATACAAAACCATGAGTTTCAATGCAAAAATAATTATATATCTCAGTTAAACTAGCTATTTGTGATGCAAATATTTTCAGCTACAATTCAGTTGAAATTATGTTGGCCGCCACAATCCTATTAAACACTATCTGAGTAATTTTGAATGGTGTCTTTGACAAAGAAACATAGCAGAGAAAGGAAAGGAGGGTGATAATACGAGCACTTGAAAGAGTTTCTCATAGTGTTTGGTCTGTTAATAGGACAGCGGTTTCAGAGCAGCTCTAGCTGGGAAGATGCACAAGGGCCAAATATTTCCATCTGTCTCTGCAAAAGTACTTCAAATTACCACTGTGAGATATAGAAATAATCTGTTTTAATCAGATGGAAAAAAAGTTGATAACTCGGTGATGAGACTGCTGCTTTCTGCATATTTATTAATTTATTAAATTTGTTCGAAGGCCACCTATTAGCATTGTGGTCTCTTGACATCAAATGCCACTGAACTTGGTGAGGATGCCTTCTATATGAAACGTCCCATAAGGAAGTTCTCACACACCATAATATACTAACGGTGTGCTGATCAGTCTTGATTATGACTGGTGGATATACCAATGCAAATAATTCACAGTGAAGCAGAGACATTCCTGAGTGCTTGTTTTCTCTCTCTCTGAAAGCTCTGCCAAGTTCTATTTTCTTTGGTCTAACTGTTCACTCCAGTTTTGTATTAAGGGACGGTCACCATTCTTCTTGCTCACTAACTTACAAGTGGTTACATTTTGTAAGTGGTTACATAACTCTTGTATTTTCAATTGTTAAGAATTTCAACACTTTAGTGGTGGGGCTGCCGCTCAGTGGTACTTCGCATACCTGGCATGCAGGCCCTTCCCAGATATCAAGGTTCTGCTGATGCTTTTTCACACCGCTTAAAAATGTGTATCATCTGTGATTTGCTTCAGGCTGAACTGCAGACCAATAAAGAGGGGCTATTTTTCTTTTCTTTGAGGGACAGTTTCCCGCTCAATATGCATACCCATATCTTGTAGCTGAAAATATGGAACCCCTGTATCTTTCTGTATATGTGCGTTTGTGAAAAAAGTAGCTGCGGGGAGATTTTCAGTGGGAAAATGCCTGAGACAGAAAAAGATTAGCAATCTATTTCCCTCGGCTTTGTCTTCTACATAGTGTGCTTGTGGATAAAGAACTTTCTTAGATAAAAGTCTGAAATCTGTAATTTCTAATTGTGGCTTTGTTGCAGAATTAAATCAGTGCTCTGTATGGACTATGGTCCCTCCCACTCTCCAGGTGGTGCTGTGATACAGCAGAATAACGCAGCTGTGCTAGTGGAGCAAATTCTTTGTTTCTCTTCCACAAATAATAGGTTCCTGCCCCACTTCAAAAAAAAAAGCCCTGCAAAATCACCTTTAAAAACAAAATTGAAACTGATCAGTGACAACCTATTAACAATGAGTGAGGAAAAT